CCTTTGCTGAATCATCGCTGGCTGCTGTGGTGCCAGGCTTGCACAGACGCTAAACGCCCTGTTCAGGGGAAAAGTGGGAAGATCTTGGGCTGTGTCGGATGCACGGAGCCAGCCGATGAGCCTGCGGCGGGGGGTGCGAGCTCACTGACTGTCAAGCTAAGAGTCCTCTCTGGATGATGTCCCAGGAAATTCTTGTCCGGAGGCAAGAACGGACTAAATGTATCTTTCCAGGGAGACTGGGGGAGACGCTAATTGCCCTTCTCCAAAAAACAAGTGGGAGGAAGAGAGAAAAGGAGGCAGAATAAGGAAACAGCCTCATTTAAATCCAGCACAGCAGATTTGCCAGTGCTTTGCCTCTGGCTCTGCAGTTGGGAAGCAACGAATGTTGATGTCTGTAGGGTGTTCAGTAACCGAGCTGGGCTGGGGGGACTCTCAGGGACCACCGGTTGTGAGTGGAGTAGGAACTGCTTCTCCCACCCACGTTTTCCTGCCAACAGACAGGGCAGCACCTGGGGAAAACGCCGGTACCCAGCCCCGTGCATGTTTTTGGGGCAGGGGGGTCACTCCTCTCTCTGCACACCCTCACGAGCAGCACCCTGTGTGTCGTCTTACGCTGGTGTTCGTGCCCACAATGCTTTTGTGGCCTGCACACTACTTTAACCTTATATTTTAGTATTTCAGTGCTACGTAGACCTGTAAATAATATCAAGCGTTGGCCAGATGAGACCAGGATATAATCAATATGGTCCTTTGAGCTCTGGGAGGAGGGCAGCCATATGTCCAAATAATCAGGGTTCACCCTTTGCGGGGCAAAAATTAGGTACTTAATACTTTCCTCTTTTATAGCTCCATTTTTATGGGTGATTTCCTTTCAGGACAAGTTCTCCAGCTTCCTTGGTACAGTTCTGTCAGACGCCTTTGTAGCTGTCTCAGCCAGAAATCAAACTGCGTAGTCATCTTGCTAAGGCTTAAAAAAAGCCGGGTGAGAGATCTGGTTACTAGCGTTGGAGTTTCTCTTGCCTACTTCCATATATCCAGTGAATTTACTGCCAGCGAGCAAACCCCCGTGAGTTTGCTTCCTTGCTGCTGGTAACCTGAGCCTCATTGCTGGATTCATCCGCTCCTGACAGTCACGGAAAACGTGCGATTACCCTAAGAGCTGTTTATTAATCACTGCCAAGGGCTGTAATTATATCAGCTATTAGGAAGTCAGCTAAAAGCGGTGTCTGTCCAACCAGTGTGGAGAGTAAGGAGAAACACGGTCCCATTCCACAGAGCGGATGATGTTTGTTAGCGACTTCATTTCCTTTTGCAGATAAATGCTCGTTAGAAGAATAACTGAATTTTAGCACCTTCCTACTACCCCTCCAGCGTCCAGCCCTGTTCGCCGTGCCTCGCCCTGTACCTCGGTGGTGGCTTTCTGAGCAGTGCCAGAAGGGTTCCAGGTTAAGCAGCCGTTGTGCTGTCCTCTCGGACCCCAACCAAGCAGGTGCCTGGTCCCCATCCCTCTCTGGAGAGGCGTGGGTTACCCCTGTACATCGCTTTCGGGTTGCTTCCAAGGTGAGGAGTGTATCACTGTAGCTGTGTCTCCCTGCCGGCTGTATCGGGGTAGGCATCCCTTCCTGCGGCAGGTCACGCCTTGCCGCAGACACTTCCGCCGAGGGGCTGATGCCGATGGCAAAGGCAGGGTTGGAGCGTGCAGCAGAGGTACGTGTACACTGAGCAGGCGGCACTAAGCTGCTGCTGGTGATCACCCCGGGCAAAACGGTGCCCGAGCAGTCTCCTCTGTGCACCGGGACCGTCGTTTTGCCTGGGACATGGTAAGTACATGTGCAGTACTCATGTTGCAGCTGGGCAGGACTTGCCTATATCCTTATTGTGATGGGTGCGGTGACTGGCGCACGCTTTTCCTTGCGCAGGGATAACTAAACCTTTCCTTTGTTCACAAGGAGCATTTGCTCCATTATGTCTTGGTGCAAAATCCGTGTTTTCCTTTTGGCTCATGCCCATAGGTGAATTTTTTCCATCCTCGTGAGTATGGATCGCTGTGACCTCCTGTGCTGAGAGCTTGGTGCATCTCCACCAAAGTGGTGTCTGGCTGGGGCAGCCCTTTTAGATCCCAGTTTGGCACTGCCTTCCCACCGTCCTGCCGTCCTCCTGCCTTTGATGACTGTGGACGAAACATGTTCCTGGTGGATGTGGAGGCACTGGCATTAGGCGTTCTGGGGAGCAGTGGTGTGAAACCCAATAGGCAGCGCGTATCTGGAGCTGTGACTGTCCCTGTGCACAATGGTGTGATTTCCTTTGGGAAAAGGGAACAAAGTAGGTGTCTTCTTACAGTGGCTGAAGAGGCGGTTGGCTGCTGTTGGCTGATCACTTGTGTTTAATGCTACTGGAGGATTGGCTGACAAACCAAACGTCCCATGGAGCTGTAGGATGAAGGCCTCTGTGTCGGGTTTTGCTTGACGGGTGTTTGTTTTCACTCTCCAGGTAACTTTGCTGAGAGACGGCCGAGCAGCCTCAGGACCTCACCGTGATGGAGGATCATGCAACTGGCCAGGAGAAGCACATCCCATCAGGTGAGCACCTCCAGGAGGAGACGGTGTAAAGGACCTGCCTTGCCCGCCGCTGAGAGAACGAGCTAAGCGGGGAGAGCAGGGCCAGCGAGGGGTGCGAGGGGACGGCCAGGAGGTCTGGAAGGTTACTGTGGATCAGCTGGCTGCAGCCAGCGGACAGTGGGTAGCCCACAGGATGCTCGCAGTCGTAGGATGCTGCTGTTGGATATCACTGCCCAGCCAGAGCAGAACAGCCCCTGGTATCCAGATTAGTGATGGTTATACTGCTGCAGCTTTGCGAATGTGTGTTTCTGTGTTCACTCCTTAGTTGATACAGCACTGCTTTCATTTGGAGACACGGCTCAAGGATGCTGCTTGCTGCCTGCTTTTCTCACCTGCCCAGGGAGAGGGGCGGGAACTGCACAGAGAGCTCTGGGAGCGGGGGTCATGCAACAATCTTTCGCCCCATATTTCAGACCTGCATTTTCCAAGAAGCCTTTCCTTTCTCATTCCACCATGCTCCACAATTGAGCTTGGAAACCCACATCACGCCAGCAAACCTGGCTCACTCCCAGCTATGGTCCATATAATCATCATCTTAATTTTCTTTTCTTGAGGTGATTTGGACACACCTTACGCCAGATAAATGGATTCTCTTTGTCCTGGAGACAGTCCATAGCATCCATTCATCCCGGGTTCTGTAATGCATTTCAGTCTGATAGCTCCTCACAGCTTGCAGCCTCAGCTTCTCACATCCCAGGTTCCCAGGGATTTTGCTTGTACTAGTTTGAATCTTCTTTTCCAAGTCATTTTCTCCTGCTCTCACTGATTTATTTGCCCAGACTCCTTGCAGAGAG